GAGGCAGCGAGATAAGGACCAGCAGCGAAAGAGGGAATGCGTGGCCTCAGCCCTGCCCACCAACTCCTGCAGCTCAGCCCAGGCCCTGCCCCGCGCCTGCGAAGAGAGAGGGCCCCACTGTCCAGGTGCTGGGCGGCCAGCCCCTGGGTGACAGACCCCAGGGACCTTGGCTGCAGCTACAGGGCCAGCCGGTGACCTGGGCCCGTCTTGTGCTGTCCTGCATCTGTGTGTCCCTCCAACCCCTCCCCTTACTGTGAATTGAGATGCATCCCAGAGGGGACTCTTCCTGCAGGGAAGAGAATGGTCCCACCCTGGAAAGTGTCCTCCCAGGGGCTCTAGCCCCAGCTCCCTGTCCTCAATGCCATGGTGGTGCATGGGAAAGCAGACTCACAGGGTGGGGGGATGAGGCATGGGGGTGCCCGGGCACCCAGGAACTGGGGTAGAATTCACTGACTGCCTGCCGCCCATTGACAGGGTTGAGGATTACAGTCAAGTAGCTCCAAGGGGAGCCCTAGTGAGAGTGCTCCCTGGCAGGCCTGGCCCTTCTGTTTACGAACAGGGATAATAATATCCCCCATCAAAACTGGAGATGTGATTTGTAAACTGTCAAGTGTCAAACAGATGAGAGGCAGTTGCAGAGTCCACTGTTCCAGTCTCCTGGGGAGAGGGCGCGAGTGAGTGACCGGCTCGCCATGTTCCCCATCGCAGGGCTGCAGACAGCCTGCAAGGCGATGTGGGAACAGCCCATCCGGACACCCGCACGCCTGCACAGCCAAGGACCCAGACTGACAAATGACTCAGACACACAAACACCCAGGGCTGGGTGGAGCACAGCACCTCAGAGCCAGCCTCCCACCGGCTGAGTGGGGGCCAGTGCTGGGGGAGACCCTTCTCTGGGGTCCCCCCAGCCCCCATCCTCTGCGTCAGTCGTCTGAATTGGTGTCCTGAGCCCCATCCCATGCAGGCACATTTGCTATATGCCAGACTCTGACAGACAGGAGTTGTCAGGCTTGTGGGGCCTGGTATGGTAGTGCATACCTGTCATCCCAGCACTCTAGGAGGCCGAGGCAGGAGGACTGCAAGTTTGAGCTCAGCCCAGGCAAGTTAGTGATTCATTGAGACTCTGCCTTAAAATAAAAATAAATACATAAAAAGGCCCAGGGATGTAGCTCAGTGCAAAGGCCCTGAGTTCAAGCTTCTATACCAAAAAAAAAAGGTAAAATACATACCAGTTTTAGAACTCAAGACAAAAACCTTGTAATAATTTTTCTATTGATTACCTGCTGAAATACTAACAGTATTTTAGGTAGGCTGCATTTAAAATAACATGCCGGTAATTTTTTTCTGGCAAGTAGCTGCTAGAAAGTTTGAAATGAGGGGCAGGAGGAAGCACTGGCCTGCAAGTCTGCAGCTGGTCCTGATGAGAGAGGGCAGGCCTCATGGGGTCTCTCAGCCTGCCTGGCTGTGAATGCTGTACCCAGGGCTGGACCCCAAATAGCAGCCGCTGATGCTGCAGACCTCAGTGGGGTCCGCAGGAAGGATTCGTGCCCCACTGATAGCATCCCCTGCGCAGCCTTCTTCTGGGGAGTTCTCTTGGGAATGACTGCCAGCAGCCTTGTCTGTGGCCCTGGGAGGAAACTCAGTGGGGTCCCAGCCCCACAGCTTGTCTGTCCCTCTCACTGGCCCAGGATTCCACAGAGCGTGCCCTGTGTTCAGTGGGTGATGGGACCCCATCTGTATAGAGAGGGAGGAAAGGAGAAGCCCACACCCCACAGGTCTGCCTGGGGTCTGTCTACACCCGCAGTCTCTGTCTCCATCTCCTGGAAGGCTCATCCGTGCTAACTCAATGCTCGGGACGCAGGGAGACAGAGTAGGTTCACCCTCACCCCAGCAGGATGACGTGAAGGTCCCACGCTCAGCCCATGGACCCACAGAGAGGCCCAGGGGAGAGGGCGAGGGCAGGACAGGCCTGCGGATGGATGCTGAGGCCAGGGAACCTCAGCCACAGAGTCCAGCCCCCGGAAGCCCAGAACCAGCCTGAGGGCCGAAAGGGAGGACGGGTCAGGGGGAAGGACTGTGGCCGCACAGGCTGGGCTGGGCTGGGCTGGGTGCAGGCTGGGCCGCCCTACTCAAAGTCTGGAATTTATCTGAATGGCTACAGAAGCTTTCCTTTCCTTTCTTTTCCTTTCTTTCTTTTTCTTTCTTTCTTTCTTTCTTTCTTTCTTTCTTTCTTTCTTTCTTTCTTCCTTCCTTCCTTCCTGTTTTTTTCTTTCTGCATGCTAGTGATTGAACCCAATATCTTCACACATACCCTTCTTTCATTTTTTTTTTAATTTTGAGACAGAATCTCACTAAATAGCTAAATTTCCCAGGCTGAGCTCAAACAGCAACCCTCCTGCCTCAGCCTCCCAGAGTGCTGGGAGGACAGCATCTCACAGAACTCCCAGCCTTCCTGGGATGCAGAATGTGGAATGCTGCCCCACCAGCACCCTGGGAGGCTGAAAGCTATGCATCACCACAACCAGCTCTTGTGGCCTCTCGAATGCAGGGTGAATGGCCATTGGCTGACGCCTGTGTCCCCTACTCTCACACTGTGCTGCAGGCACTGGGCTGGCTGGGCAGGTGAGCAGTTCCACGCCTTTAGCTCTAAATTGAGCCCCTTTGGAGATGTACAGAGGCCTTGCTGAATCTGTGTCATTGGAGCTCTGGGAACAGGCACAGGCCACCTAGGGAAAGGGGGGACTGGAACTGAGGACAGGCCCGAGCGTGGTCCCCAGCCTCACATCTGCCTTGCAAGTGTGTCTCCATGCCTCTCCTGGTCCCTCGGCAGGCCCTCTCCTGCTGGCTCCAGCCGCTTCCCCGTCCTGGAATTAATAAAGACTCCAAGCAGACTGCGGTTTGCAAAGTCTGAACGCCGGTTCCTGCCCACGTCACTGCCCTGAGAGGAGTGGGGCCCAGCCTCCCCTACCTCCCAAGTCACTACCCAGATGGAGCCTCCAGTGCTGCCCCAGGCAGCGCCTTCCCCACCAGCATGGCTGGCTCAGGGCACTTCGGGCCCTCATGATCTCTATCAGGCACCCCAGTGAACACACTGCACAACGGCTACATGATAAAAATGATTCCTCTAGCTTGTCCATGGCTCCCAAGATTCAGGAAACCCAAGAAAAAGGAGACATGGCCCAGGGTTCCAGGGCAGCCAGGTAGAGCCAGGCCTGAAAACAGAAGTGTTTGTAGAACTGGTGGCATCAATAGTAGCATCGGTACCAGCACCTGAGAAATAAGGGAGGTTTCTCTTTGCTATTTTAGTACTGTGATCGAATCCAGGACCTTTATACTATGCTACATCACCAGCCCTTTTTGATTCTGAGATAGGCTCTCCCAAAATTGCTAAGTTGCCCAGACGGGGATTGTACTTGCTATCTTCCTGCCTCAGCCTCCCAGAGTGCTGGGGTGACAGGCATGTGTCACCACACTTAGTGAGAACAGTGCAGAAAGATGGCACACTTATTTATCTGTGCAACCATTTTCCCAGGGAGGGTATCCTTCAGCATTTGGCGAGTGTGGAGAGTCCATCCCACTGGCAAGCCTCAGTCCCAGGTCCAGCTCGTTCACGGCCTGCCTTTGCCCCTTCGCGCCTGGCCACCTGCTCCCAGATCCACGAGGTGCTAAGACACCCCGGGCCACTGCAGAAGTGCCTGAGATTCTTGGCTTTGACTCTCTGCTGACTGGCTATGACCTAGGGCCCAGCACAAGCTTCCTCTCCTATCTTCTGTCTCTCACATCTTTCCTACAAGCAGAGACTGCAAGGGATGTGATCCTCCCCTGACCCACACTACATGCATACACCCCAAACCCCAGGGTCCACCGTCCTGCCCCGGTGCTGGCAGGAGGGCTGAGCGGTCTGTAGGACGCTGAACCAGCTGACTCAGCACTGCCGCCCTCTACTGGTCACTGGCGGAATGGCAGCCCCGCGCGCTCCTCAGGAAGAGAAACAGCTGTCTGGGGCGCCTGAGTCGGATCTTGACCTTCACTGTGCTCAGCTATGGGACAGGTGGTGGCTGAGTGACAACAAAGAGGTTGGGTTGTCACCTCCCTGTTCCCCACAGGGCCCCTGGATTGCAGCTTGACCTCTGCCAGACACTGACCTGGACTGGGATGGATGTGAGGCTATGGCCTCGGTCCATGCAGAATGGGACCCTGGATTCCAGGTTCCCTACATGCCAACGCGGATGTGGCCTTTACTCGCGAGCCACCTTCCAGCCTAGCCGAAGCGGCTCCAGACCTGCCTGACCCCGTTGCCTCCGCTTCAAGAAGAAGGCTGAGCCCTGTCCCATACAGAAGAAAGCTCAATAGTGTCAGGTCCCCAGTCTGTCCCCTCAATGCCCACCAAGCAACCCCACCCTGATCTTGCTTCGTAGGCTATTCTGCTGCGGGCCTTCAACCTCTGCAGACCTTGGCCCTTGACCCCTAGACCTGCCCAACCCCCCATGCCCAGCTTGGGGCAGGGCCTCTCTTCAGCCAGGCCTAGGGGTGCTGGGGTGTCTGGAGGGCCTCGGGTGGGGGCTGAGGCGCGGGACAGCTGGCCTGTGTCCCCACACTGGGCCCGGGGCCCAGCCAGAGGGGCGGGGGCCTGGCCACTCAGGCCTTGGCTGGAGCCAGGATTTTTGGCCTGGCTGCCGGGCCCTCCCTCCTGCTTCCTCTCCCGAGGGCTGTCCTGGCAGGGGCCCCCTCGCACTTTTCTGGCGGGAACATGGCCAGCATGGAGAGAACAGCCACAGAGGGAAAGCGGGAAGGAGATGGGGGAAAGAGTGTGAGTGTGTGTGTGTGTGTGTGTGTGTGTGCGCGCGCGCGCGTGTGCGCGCGCAGGAAAAAGGCCCACAGTCCAGTCCGACCCAGCCTGGGAGGCTCTCGCCGGCCCTTTCGTAATTGCCCCCTCCTGGCCCCCTCCCCCAGCTCCCCCTCCTCCGGCCCTCCCTCCCTCTCTCTCGCCCGCCCTTCCCTCCCTCCTTCCCTTGCAGCGACGACCAGGCAGCAATTACGCTTTGGGGATAAAACGAGGCGCAGAGCGCGGCCAGGGCATTCCTCCCCGAGATGGCGGGTCTGACGGCGGCGGCCCCGCGGCCCGAAGTGCTGCTGCTCCTGCTCTGCCTCCTCCGCCCCGCGCAGCCCGGAGGTAAGGGCCCCATCACCCGCCCGGTCCCCAGCAGCCTGCAGCCCTGCTGCAGGCCAGGTGGCTGGACTGACAGCCAGCCAGAGGGAGCCCTTCACGCCCCCGTCCTCCAGCTCAGCCCCTGGGGACCCAGGCGCTGTCTGTCCTGAGAGCCAGCCCTGTGCCAGAGGAACCTGTCACACAGATGTCCTGTGACTTGAAGTGGTCCCTGCCCTGCATCCTGGGGGGCAGAGAGACCTCATGTCTACCCCATCTTCTTCTCCCTGGCATTCCAGCACACCTGTGGCCCCAGCTGGGCGCCCATGCCACCCTGCAGACAGGGGACTTGTGCATGAGATCACTAGGCTATGGTGAGCTGTGTGACCTCGATGGGTGCTGTCCCTTGGGAAATCAGGCTCTCCCTCTGCAGAAGACAGGGCTACATTGATGAGGGGCTCGTGGGTCAGATAGCTGCTGCTCTGAGCCATCACGCGCAAGAGGGATTGGGAGGCCTGAGCCTGTGCTTGGACAAGGTATCACATGCTGTCCTGAACAGATAGATGTGTGTGCCATGCCCAAATTGTCAATGAGCAGGAGGGAGTTTCTGGGAGGGGAAGAAGTTTTGCACACAGTTCACCCCGAGACAAGTGTGGGGGGGGGCACACACGTGATGTTTTCTGTTTGTGTTAGCAGAAGTCTGTCACCAACAGACACAAACACATGAGAGATTAGGTGTCCAGGATTGTCCCTGGTGTGGGCTGTCACTGTGCGTGTGACTGTGTGTGTGCGTGTGGATTTGTGTGGGGGCAAGTATGATACAGATGAGCACAATCAAGGAAAAGTCAGCTAGGTGGCTGCTGGTGGGCACTGGAGGGGACCTCAGGCCCCAGCTGTGTGTGTTCTGACTGGGGGTGACTGACCATGCAGGGCTGCTCATGGGGCCAGATGGGGGCACAAAGGTACACTAGCTATGGGAAGAGAGGAGTAGGCTGCAGAACCATCTGAGGGTGGCCCAGTGGGGTCTCGATGCCATAGGAGCTCTCTGAGCCCTGAGACCTGACCTGGCATGGGGGGCAGAGGGACAACTGGAAGGGAGCAGATGCCCACACTGGGTCCGCTCCTGGGCTCCGAAGAGGCCAAGGGATGTGGGCACCCACGGGGTGGGAATCTGCAGAGATGGCCAACCAGCAGCTCTGGGCTGTCTGACCCTGCTCACCCCATGTGACCCCGAACACCTGCTGCCGTTCCTGGAGTGTGGCAGTGAAGGAGTGTGGGCACCGGGGACTACAAGCTGGGGGACAGGTGAGCGAGGTGCGACTGAGACATGGGACAGCACTGGAGCGGGGCAGGCCCCTGACAGTGTCCTTTAAGGGACCACTGAGTCTCTGCCCAGTCCTTGTAAAGAGCACTGTCAGTTCTATCCCAGGTGGCCGGGGTTGCTGGGTTCAGATCTGGGCCTGATGGAGTGTGTCGGGTTGGGTTGTGCACAGGACACTCTCACAGCTGTCCTGGATGGGTCAGGGGCATCTCTTAGGAAGATCACCCCACCCAAGCCCACTGTGCTCTTTAAAGGGGAGCTCACGACATTAAACCAGGTGTCATGTTTTGCTGGTCCCAGAAATATTCTCAACCTTCCCCCCTTCCCCAGAGTTCTGAGCTTAAGTGGTTTGCTGAGAGCTGCCTGGGGGAACCTTATAATGCAGGAGTCGCCTGCTCTGGTCTGGGGAGGGTCCTGGGCAGGGAGGTTTTTAAGCCCCCTAGGTATCTGAAGAACTGCCACATCTGAGCGGCTCTGGTTCAGATGTTGATCCAGCCCCTTGGGCTCCTGGGATCCAGTAGAGGGCAAATATGCCCCCGTGTGGGAGGGGACAGTCCCCCACCCAAGGACAGATTGTTTTTGAAAAGCTTTTGGCAGCCCGCCCCATCCAAACAACAAACAGCTTGGTGAGGTCTTATCTGCTCCCTGGGCTGGTCCTGGACTTTGACTTGGTGAAGCCACTGCCAAGCCTGGCTGGGTGGTACTCACTCCTAAGATCCCAGACCTTGGCGGCCGGAGTGGCAGAAGGCCCGGCTGAAACCAGGGTCAGCGGTGGGTGCCAGGTCCAATGCTCATCCTGCTGGCTCTCAGTTCCCCCAGCTGCAGAATGGGAAGAAACGGCCCTGCCTGGTGCATCCAGCTCCTGAAGCCAGCGGGAGTCTGCAGCCCCAAAACATCTGCCAAAAATGCATCAAGTATGAGAACCGTGGGAAGGTTAATTTGCAAAAGGATATACTCTCCCACAAGGACTTGCTCACTCGGGCTGTAACTCATCTACAGGGTTAATTTCTAAGGTTTAATTCTTCCCCTTGGGAAGAGCTGATTATATAAATAAGTGTGCAGTGATGAAGGAAGCAGACAAAATCCAAAGAGGGGGTGGTCTTCTGGAGCCTCAGTAAATCCAGAAAGGCTTCCTGGGGGAAGAAATATCTGAGTTAACCTTGAAAGAGGTAAACACTTGAGAGGCTGTTGGTAAATGGGAGGAAAGCTTCAGGGTATAGGAAGGACTCTGGCAGGTAGGATCAGAGGGATGGGGTAGTAAATTCCACCTTCACAGAGTGGAAAAGCAGTGGGAGGTAATGAGTTCCCCATTGTGGGAAGTATGCAAGCAGGAACATGAAGGACATTTGTAAAAGGAGATCCAGCCCAGGCCAGCAGACTGTTATGATCCCTGAGAGTCTAGGATCGTGATTCTTAGATGCAAGAGACAAGTTCCACCCTGGGCTAGTGGGTGGAACAAGCCAAACCCACATAAAACAAGACAAGTGTGTTCCAGGCCAGCTGCTTGGGGCAGGGCAGAGGAAGAGCCTGGGGCTCAGGGAAGGCGGGAGGGAGATGGAGCTCAGCTAGCAGCTGGGCAGGGCATGAGGGCAAGGCCACTCCTGGCCAATGCGCAGAGGTGGGAAAGAAGGTGACCTGCTGGGCATGGCGAGGGATCTGCCGGCTCCTCTGAGGACTCCCATTTATGGCATCCTTACCTGTCACGCAGGGACCCTCTGTGGCCACCCAGCCCTCTCTGAGTCCCCCAAAGTGAAATGGGGAAAAATCGCGCAACTCCGCCTTGGGCCTCCAGGCTCAGAGCCCAACCAGTGCGGTCAGGGTGAGCCGTAGGCGTGGCGGGGAAGACGCAAGCGGGACAAGGAAACAGAGTTGTTCTGTCCTCCGGAAAGGACCTGGCCACAGGCGGGGTGTGGGAGCGGGTACCCGGAGAGGAAGAGGAGGTCAGCCAGGCCGGGGCTGCTGGACAGCTCAAAGTGGGAAGGCAGCTGGGCAGCTGTGACTGGAGCTTAACCTGGTCAGACCAGAGGCACAGACGACCCCTCCCCGCCTCCGCCAGCTCCTTCCCCACCGCTGCTGTATACCTGGCCCTGAGCTGTGTGCTGTGCAGAGGAAATGCAGATGGAGGTCTCCAGAATATTTTTTTTTCTTGAGCAATTACTGTGTACCAACTACGTATAACCTCTCCCTGGAATCCCTGTAACTGTACAAGTCAGTGAGGATCAGCTACACGCGGCAAAAAATAAAGCAGTCTTGGAGAGGTTGAATGAGAGGCTGAGGGGACACAGGTGGGAAGAAGCAGCAAAGCCAGGGTTAGAAGCCTGTGGCGTCTGTCCTGAGCCCTGCTCTTCTCACTCACTACACTTTCCCTTTACACTTTTGCTTTAGAGCTAGGGAGCAAGGGAAAAGGGGCTGTGGGAAGACAGGCACTGAGGCTGAGGCACAAAGATTGCAAGTTTGAGCCCAGCCTGGGCAATTTAGCAATTGGTGAGACTCTGACTCCAAAGGAAAAAAGAAATAAAATGAAAAGAGCTGGGGACGTAGCTCATTGCAAAGGTCCTGGGTTCAATCCTCGGTACCCAAAAGAAAGAAAGGAAGAAAAAAAAAAGAAAGTGCTGGAAAGAGACAGGGAAAGATGCATGAGACAATGCTGGAGCCAGAGCCAGGAGAGGCATCAAAGGCCGGGCGAGCCGTGTGTGGGTTTGGCAGCCGATGACAGGCCGGGCACTCCTTTCCCAGCAGGCCCAGCCCCCAGGGCCACCACGCTGATCCCCAGGCCCTGACCAGATTTTGAGCACTGCAGGCCAGGCAGCCATCCCCAGGGCCAAGCCCTGGGAGGTAGTGACACCTAGGCTTTGGCATGGGATGGGCACGACAGCCAGGCCTCCTCAACCTCACCGGGCTGCAGCTGAGGCTGATGAGGCCCAGGGGCTAGCAGGCCCAGCTGTGCTCTGTCGCCAGGCCTCGGAGGCCAGATGTCTGGGCATGCTGCGAAGCGGTGTGACTCTGTCCCCATGCCAACTCCAGGCGCCACAGGACTCCCGGGCCCCCTGCAGCAGGGCAGGGCCGGGCCATCAGCATTCCATGGTGCAGTCAGAGCCCAGTTTGGGATTGAGTCTGTTTCCATAGTGACAGTGGGGCCTTGGTGTGGGGCCAGCATAGCAAATCCTCCTCCAAGAGCCTCGCTGGTGCACGGGGTCTGAGCTCCCGAGCTCGGCTGGGAAATTATCTGTTCTTTACAAACTATCCACTTTACTCATTCATGATGTCCTGCTCTGGGCCCAGTGCCTCCCACAATAGCCCTGTCAGATGGCCAGGACCCCACCCAGTGGTGGCCGCTCAGTGGCTGAGGACGCTGACCCTGCGTCATCCTATCGGTGTGGGAACGGCTGCAGCGGCTCTGGTACCATTGCACTTCCTTTCCGTGGCTGTTACAGCCCGGCCTGCCCCTCCCTCCAGCCCAGGCAGAGACTTGCTGCCCACCCCAGCCCCTGCCCTCAGGGAGGGCTGGGCAGCATGGTACCTGCTGTCATTCCTAGAAGTGTGGCCTGAGTCACAGCCACACTTTGCCTCTTTCCCACTGTATGGCCCCGAGGCTGTTCCTAACCTCTCTGAGCCTGACTTCACATCAAAACCATGATCATAACCCCTGACCTTCCAACCTCACCAGGGCCACTTGGAGAAGCACGAAGGAGAAAATGCAAACAGGTATCACTTGGCCTGCCAGAGCTCAGGGAGGCCGAGGCAGGAGGATTGCCAGTTAGAGCCCATCCTAGGCAACGGAGTGACTTGAGAACCTGACTCAAAATTTAAAAATAATTTTTAAAGCACTAGAGATACAGTTCAGTGCCAAGGCCCTGGGTTTTATCCCCAGTACCAGGAAAGAGAAAGAAAGAAAGAGAGAAAGAAAGAAAGAGAGAAAGAAAGAAAGAAAGAAAGAAAGAAAGAAAGAAAGAAAGAAAAGAAAAGAAAAGAAAAGAAAAGAAAAGAAAAGAAAAGAAAAGAAAAGAAAAGAAAAGAAAAGAAAGGGGAGGTGGGGAATAATCATTTGGTCCTCAGAAATTGCTTCTTAGACTATTTGATTATCATTATCATCAATGGTTACCAGGTTTTATAAAACCTTGGCTAATGCTGAATTCTGCCCAATTCCTTCCAGGGGTCCCAGGGGCGGTTCCTGGTGGGATTCCTGGTGGCATTCTTGGGGGTGTCCCTGGAGCTGTCCCTGGAGGAGTCTATTATCCAGGTAATGTACGCGAAACTCCCACCTGCCCGCATCAGGCAGGTAGGACCCTGCCCCAAAGGCATAGCACAGGTTGCCCCTACAGAGGACAGGAGTTCCACAAATCAGGCCCACCTAGAAATGTAGCCCATGGGACCGGTGTCACAGGCACAAGCTCAGAAAGATTCTGAAAATGCAACAGGGACCTCGAGCTGTCTGGGGCGGGTGCCTCCTCCAACTCCTCCAGGGAGGTAGACACTCCACAGCCTCCCGGCCATTAATCCTGAAAGTTTGCTGGGAGCAAATAATTGTAAAGGAGAGGAAAAAAAGCAGCCAGGGTTGTAGGAGTGTTATTTGCAAAAACCGTAAAACAAGACACTTATCTGATGGGAGGGTGGGATTAAGTAAACTCAACACAGGCAGCTCTGAAGAATTACGATTTTTTTTCTTTTTTACAGTTCTGGGGATTGAACCCAGAGCCTCCATCCTGAGCTGCACCCTAGCCTTTTGTAAAATTATTTTTTTAATTGCTAACTTGGCCAGGCTGAGTTTGAATTTGTGATCCTCCTGCCTCAGCTACCAGTGGAATGTTTTCAGAGTAAAAAGAATATAATAGGGATGACTATGTACAAATGGAGGCTGAGAGTCCCTGCACCCCACAGCCAAAAGAAAATGGGTGATGGCACTGGGGAGGGGGCATTCTTTTCTTATCATTTTAAAAAAAAACATAATGCTCTCAAGTAGATTAAAAGACAAAAGCAATAGTTTTAGTACTTAAACTGTTTCTGAGTGTTCCGAACTAAGGTGGCCATGGGGAGGGGGCCCACAAGTCCTCTCCTAGACGCAAACCTTCGAAGAGCTGTTGACCCAGTTAGTCAGACTGGGAAACTGAGGCTCGATGAGTTTGATCCACCCAAGGGCAACAGCCAGGCAGGGCTAGATTGGGCCATGAGTGGATGGAGGGCTACCTGGAAGGGAACTGATGGCCTTGGTCTGTCGGTGTGTCTGTCCATCTATCGGTCCCTCTTTCTCCCTATGTCTCTATCACAGGGACTGGGCTGGGAGGCCTGGGAGGAGGTAAGCTCATAACCCACACACTTGGTTTCACTGAAAGTTCTGGGTATCCTCTCGGTCCCCTCAGGCCTAAGACCCCAGAAATTACAGGTCCCTTTCTGTCAGCTCGAGTGTCCCATGGGCAGAGCTCTACTGGGAAGCAGAGCCCCCCAGGATTCCCCCTGCCTTCAGATTCCTTTTGATCTCATCCACACCCTCTGCCAAGATGGCAGAGTACCATCTTCCCTGATACAAAAATCTGAGCCATAAATTTGGCTGGACTGGGCTCCCCACAGCTCATGTCTGAGGACAAGGACTCCTCCAGCCCCTCAAGCCCCTAGGTAGGATGGGTAGAGAGTAAGACAAGATGCTGAGGCCCCCCACTTATCACCATCTCTTCCCTTCTCAGGGCTGGGACCTGGAGGCAAACCACCCAAGCCAGGTAGGAGCCAGCAGGGAAGGCCTGGCCATTTGGAGGGCCTGGGTTGGGAGAGGTCTTACAGGCTGCAAGCTGGATCCGGATCCGGGTGGGCCAGGAAACGGCAGCGACAGCCCCCAGGTGTTGGCAGGTGGAGGTCAGGCTCCAGGGCCAATCTGATCCCAGACTGAGACCTGAACTTAACCCCAGGCTGAACTCTGACCCTAGCCCCAGATGAGTGTCCTTCTTGTTCCCTGGGACACGGGAGTATAGGGGGTCACCATCAGCTCAGAAAGCTGGGGAGTGAGGAGGAGGCAGTGTCGACAAGGAGCAGGTGGAGGAAAGGCAGTGTCTCTGTTAGATTTATGTCTTTGTGGCCCCCTCCAAGTGAGAGGCTCCATATGTGTCCCGGTGCACCCCTCCCCCACATCCTGCCTCACACCCAGGGTCTGAAGCCCCGGGCTCTGGGACGGGGCGCTCATTGGATGTCCAAGAGCTCTTACGAAATCCCCATGGTCCATGATCCAAGTGCAGATGGGTCTGTGGGGCCAGATTCCCAGCTTCAAGCAAGCCTAGCTGTTGTGAAACCCCAGACAGGGAGCAGACAGAGGTGGTGGGCAGTGTGTCCAAGCCAGGGGGCTCCTGGGATCTGCCAGGCCAGGAGAGAGGGGCGTCCCTACTTCTGCCTTCCTGGAGGGGTAGACAACTGCACGCAGCCTCTGGCTGGGTAGCTGCTAAAGTCAACCATTTAGTAATGAAGGGTTTAGGTTAGACTTGTGGAAGAACTTCCAGCTGGGCGTAGGAGTACACCCAAGGAGAGTCAGGCAATCTTCAGAACGAGGGCACTGCAGAGAGGTGGGGACTGGCTTCTGCGACCTCACTGAGGTCGTCTTTCAGCCTTGGAACTTTAGCAGAGCCCCGTGCTCCCTCCAAGGAAGCTCCCTGCCTCGGGGGGAGGGGATGTCCGGGTGTGCCCAGGCGGAACAGGACAGGGCACAGGCAGCGTGTGTCATGCTCGGGAACGATTAATCCCTCAGCGCTACAGTGGGTGGCCTGGCAGCTGCTGCTCTGCATGGGCCCTGCAGGCCTGCCTGGCCCAGCCTGGGCTCTCAGCAGGGGGCCAAGCAGTTGGATGCCGCCCTTCTGCACCCTAGCACCAGCTGGACACCAGCTGCCCCTGGGAGGGGCATGGACACAGACAGCACTCCAAAGCTGCAGATGCTGGGCCCTCTAAGCTCACCCACTCACCGGGCCCAGGAAGGTTGGGGCCATAATGGCTACTCATAGATGGGGAAACTGAGGCTCAGGGGACCAATGAGTGGCTTCTAGGCAGGAGAACAAGAAGAGCCATAAATTTGGATCTGAATGCAGAGCTTGCTGTACCCAAGAAGGAGGAGGGTTGGGCCAGCAGGGTCCTGGGCTCCTAGCCATGGTCAGGTGGGCCCCTCTCTCCTCCTTTGCAGGCGCTGGGCTGCTAGGGACCTTGGGGGCTGGTGAGTCCAGAAGCAAGAGGGCAGCAGGGTTGGAACAATCTGGGTGTCACTGGGGGGACACGGCCAATCCCCTCCTCCCCTGCCTGCCTTCTCTCTTCTGGTCCAATTCCATCCTCCCCTTCCAACCCTTCTGTGGACAGGAACGGTCTGAGAGTGTTCCTTGCCCCCGGGGAGCTGCCTACAGAGCTGGGAAGTGACTAGGGCAGCCCCAGGCCTGGTTACCGAACCATCTTACCTCAGTAGTGACAGACCATCTGAAGAGGGTCTGCCTCCGTTTACCACAGGCCCAAGTCATACACCTGGGCAACGTGTTCGGAGGGCTGACTCGGTAGGGAACCAGAGAGACCTCAAGTATCGAGTCCCCAGGAGGGCTCACCCCTAGGGATCAAGACCCTGGCAGGGAGGACTGGCACTTGGGAGGACACTCCTGAAATTGGAAAGAACTCTGGTATAGTGTGGTGGCCATGGCAGTGAACTCCAAACTGATTGCCCCTCTGCGAGCCAGGAACATCCTCCAGAGGGAGCAATGCAGCCCTATGTCCGGGGAGAGAGCCAGAGGGCTCCTTTGGCTTTCTGTCCAGGACAGGACAGATGGTGGGGGCAGAGGGCTTCCCAGACCCAGATGAGGAACGGGAGGGGGCTGAGTCAGGGGAGAGGCTAGGGGATGACAGGGTGGGGGCAAGGCCAGGCCTGGAGGGGTGTCCCATCTGTACGCCTCTCTGCTGAATGCCACAAGTTAGCACACTCTAGGAGGTGCCAGGTCTGGCCAGCCTGCTAGGGAGCCTGGCATCCTCCTGTCTACAAGGCCAGGTAGGGACTCACATGCCAGCTCTCCTCAACTGCTCTTTGTTTGCCACAGGTCCTGGTGGGCTCGCTGGTCCTGGGGCAGGTGAGTGTGACACGGGGTCAGATCCTCCCCTCCTAGCAGCTCTGAGCTCAGCCTGGTAGGCAGGGAACAGGTGCTGTCCGGGGCACAGACTAGGGCATAGACACCACCTGCCCCAGGCACACAGCAGCTGAGAACTGGGTACGGTTTAAACTAGTTAGTTATAAGCTGCAAAAGGTACCTCGGGGGCCTGGCGATCCACTGTGGTGGATTCTGGGACACATACTGGGGAAGGTAGGGGGACATGTGACCCCAAAGGCCAGGCCTCACCCAACCCGCCTGCTTAAGTGCCATTGCTGCTGGGAATCAAACCCAGCCCTCTGCAGAAAAGAACCCAACATGTCACAGGTGGCAGCAGCCAGCAGTCAGGGATCTGGCAGGTTCTCTGAGTGTAGTGGCTCAGGACTTCACTTTGTCCCCTCCACAGGGATCGGGGCCTTTCCTGCAGGTGCCTTCCCAGGGGCTCTGGTACCTGGTGGAGCAGCTGGTGCTGCTGCTGCTGCTGCTGCTTATAAAGCTGCCAAGGCCGGTGAGTGGTATTTTTGGGACAGGGCACAGCCCCCCACTCCTTCCTTCCCTAGGCTGCAGGAGTAGGGTACCCCCTCCAATCTCGGGAGCCAGCTAAATGTGCCCACGCCAAAGTAGGTGGGGGGGCAGGACCACCAGTTTGGAACCTCAGTGCACAGCCTATCCCTTCCTCCTCTACCTCACTGTCCCTGCACGGTCTTGCTCCCCTCACTCACCACTCCTGGCTCTCCAGGGGCCGGGCTTGGCGGTGTAGGAGGGCTCGGTGGCATTGGCGGAGCTGGCGGCGTTGGAGGGCTTGGTGGTGTTGGTGGAGTCGGTGGCTTAGGAGTGTCTACAGGTATGGTGGCCACACTAGAGTCCTCTAGGTGATGCCTCAGACCAGGCAGAGCCATCTCTAATACCCTCCTGTCCCTGCCAGGTGCTGTGGTGCCTCAGGTTGGAGCAGGAGTTGGAGTTGGAGCTGGAGGGAAGCCAGGGAAAGTTCCTGGTCAGTGTGGAGTCTCTGGGGCTGGGGGTCGGAGGTCAGGGAGGGACAATGCTGCCCCATGGGCCTGGAGGAAGGACAGAGCACATGATATCCAAGCCTAAAACACGAGACCTATTCTGTGAAACGGAACTGAAGCAGAAAGCAGACTCAGAGACAAGCTCTGTGGCAGGCTGTAAGGAGATAGGTGAGGGGGAAACTGAGGCTCAGGGTGGACAGCAGAGCTGAAGCACCCTGCTGGTGGTGGCTGAGCTGGGGTAGGCCCAACCTTCTCAATACCCATCTGGTGTTCATTGGGCTGCACTCAGCTCTTTAGGAAGTGACTTCAGGTTAAACAAAAGACTGCCTAAGTCCACACAGCGGGAAGGGACATCTGGAAGCCGTTAGCAGAGGTAGGCTGGCCTGCTGGCTGGCCATGTAAACAGGCTCCTGGAGACAGAGATAAATCCACGCACAGAGGGTTTGCAGATGACTTCCAAGACTAGTGGGAGGAGAGCCGCCCCACGTCTGTCCCCAGTGGCTCCAGTGGGCACCAGGGCTACTGGCCTAGGGCCCATGTGGGAAGGTTAGGGGGGTCCAGTGCTCAGCCGCTGATAATGGCTCCTTCCTCTTCCTCTGGCTCCAGGTGTGGGGCTCCCAGGTGTGTACCCAGGTGGAGTGCTCCCAGGCACAGGTGAGACGAGAGCAGAGAGAAAGCAGCCCCTGTGCCCTGCTTGACATCCACTCCTCCCCTCAAGCAGAGATGCCCCAGAGATCTTGAGTCCTGGCCAATGGCTGTTTCTCTAAACAACAGGGTTCAAACCAATGGGTGTAAGGTCCCTGGCATCAAAGGCTAGCTTCTGCCAGGCATGATGATGCATGTCTCTAACCCCAGCATTCTGAGAGGCTATGGCAGGAAAATCAAAAGTTCAAGCCCAGCCTAGCAACTTAGTGACGTAGTGGGACCCTGTCTCAACATAAACAAGGGCAGAGGATGGAACTCAGTGCAAAGGCCCTGGATTCAGTTCCCACTACACCACACACAGACACAGATACACACACACAAACACAGATACACAGATACACAGACACACAGACACACAGACACACACACACACACACCCAGCTTCCCCTGGTTCTGGGCCCAAACCCTCATCACAGCCTAAGGCGGGTCCCCGAGGGCAGACTGAGTCTCCAGTGTAGCCAGCTGTTTCCCAGAAGCCCTGAGTCACCAGGGGCCCGCCCAGGGAGTCCACCCTGCCTGAGACCCCTTAGAGCCGCCCCTCACCCGCCTCTCCCTGCTGAAGCTGCTGCCCCGCCCAACACATGACCTCCTGAAATCCCCCAAAAGCCCAGTTTTGGATGGCTCTGTGGGATTTGCTGACGCATGGCCCCCTTCTCCTGTTCCTGGTCAAGGCCCAGGGGACTCAGGAGAAATGGGAGACCCTGGTGGAGGATTCTGACCACAGTGCAGAGGCTTTGGCTGTCAGCACCATCTCTCCTGAGGGCCATCAGAGGGTTTTGTGAGTCCCAGTGGGACACCAGCTGGGAAATACAATTACAATGGATTTTCTGCGTCAATGCGTGGTGACGCATGCCTGTAATCCACTTGGAGCACTTGGGAGACTGAGGCAAGAAAATCACCAAGAGCTCGAGACCAGCCTGTACTACATAGGGAGGCTCTGTCTCAAAACACAAAACAGCAGAAAAAACAGATCTGACTTTGGGCCAAGCAGCAGAGGAAAGTCCCACCAAATAGGTCCTTTTGCTACCCACCCCACAACATGTCCCTGTCGCAGGTAGTCAGTATGGGAGGGGACCCAAGGCAGTTGCCAAGAGGACCCTTCATGGCCTCTCTGCCCTGCCCCCTTTCTGCTCAGGAGCTCGCTTCCCTGGAGTGGGAGTGCTCCCTGGGGTCCCCACTGGAACTGGAGTCAAAGCCAAGGCCCCAGGTATGCATCCACTGAGTGGGGCCTGGGGCTGGGGCTCCCACTTCCCTCTGCTCCCTAGTCTGGGATGTGGGGTGCAAGTGGGCCTCATTTGGAGCCCTCTGGGTGGGCATTTAAGGTGCAGCTCTGCTGCTCAGAGATCCCACAGCATGAGCCCCTCCTGCTGTGCCCTGGGGCCAGAATGACAGCTCCTTGTCCTTGCAGGTGGAGGTGGAGCTTTTGCTGGAATCCCAGGTGAGGCAAAACTGTTCCTTTCTGCAGGGTGGGAGGACTGGCATATGACCAGCCAGGTAGGGACGCCTACCCTGGGCAGGGCTGGGCAGCCAGAAGCCCTCCCAAGCTGCCAGATCCCCCTGCCTCCTCCTATAGGTCTTGAACTGGCTTCAGCACAGCGTGGCAGGAACTGCAGGCCTGCCATGCACCCCAGGCCCATCTGTGTAGCAAGCAGACACACCCAAGGAACCCAGCCCTGTGCAGGGGCTGCAGGGCTGCAGACTGGAACTCCACAGGGAGAATCCAGCAGCTCCCTGGAGGAAGTGGCCTGTCACTGGGCTGCATAGGGAGGACTTCAGGAGCAAGGGGAGCTCATTCATCTGAGCAGGAAGCCAGTGGTGGGCAGGGGTTTAGAAGCGGCCACTGACCCCAAGAGCCAGGCTTTCACTTGCTCTTTTTCCCCACAGGGGTTGGGCCCTTTGGGGGCCAGCAGCCTGGGGTTCCCCTGGGGTACCCCATCAAAGCACCCAAGCTGCCAGGTCAGTCGAAGGGAAATCACCTTTAGGGGACTTGGGCCACTGATCTCTCTGGGAACAGGGTGGGGTGGAGAGGGGAACCTGCAGGTGGAAGCTACTTCTGGTCACCTGGCCGCACCTGAGCACCCATGCACACACACTCTGGGAGGCTGAGGCAGAAAAATCAAAATGCAAGCCTGACCTAAAAAACTTAGCAAGACTCTATCTCAAAATAAAAAATCTAAAAAGGGCTAGGGATGTAATTCCATATGAAGGCCCTGAGTTCAGTCCCTGGTACCACAAAAGAAAGAAAAGAAAGGGAGGAAGGAAGAAAGGAAACAGAAAAAGAAAGGAAGGAAAGAAGAAGAAAAGAAAGAAAGAAAGAAAGAAAGAAAGAAAGAAAGAAAGAAAGAAAGAAAGAAACTAAGAAAGAAAAGGGAAGCCATGCATTGGACAGACCCTCCTGATGTCAAGCCGCCCCGACCTCCACAGTCAGCTAAGACACCAGCAAGCATGAGGAAGACATTCAAACCCTAGTGCCACAGCGGGCTGGGATTGACAGGGGCAGCAGTCCTATTCTCAAGGCTGGGGTCCTCTCATCCTCTGTCCTGGGACCTGCTCTCCTGGGAACTCCCAGGCCCCTGGGGGTGGGTCTCAGCCCCTGTCGGGAGCTCTGTCTCTTTGGGTGGGGAACCCAAAAGGCCTGGGGCAGCCCTGAGCCCGCTCTGCTCTCTGCCTAGGTGGCTATGGACTGCCCTACACCAATGGCAAGCTGCCCTACGGTGAGTGTGGTGCTCCCAAGCCTGGGGCTTCCGGCCCTTGCCTGCTCCTAGCCCTGCCCGGGGTTGGGGGGCTATGGAGTTGTAGGTATTGGAATGGGGATCCCAAAGGACATAGCATGAAATTCAAACTCAGATGGCCTGGTTCTCAGCCCTCCATTTATCATGAGGCCTTGAGCAAGCCATTTCCCTTCTCCACGCCTCAACATCCTGCTCTGTAAAATGGGAATAATGACCCGACTGGAGGGTTTGTTTGTGTTCACTCTGATTGGGGTGACAGGAGGCCAGGGATGGGGTCTCCAGGCAGCTGGACCCCCCCACAGGGTAGAGGAGGTGGCTCACTGACCTTTGAGTCTGTCCTGCAGGAGTGGCTGGTGCAGGGGGCAAAGCTGGCTACCCAACAGGGACAGGTAAGGAAGTCCTCACCCACTTCCAGCTGAAAGCATCTAGTCACCCATGCCTCCCAAGCACTGGGGCTGGCCAGGGTCTCCCCCAAAACAGGCTCTGGAGCCAGGGGCAGATCCCAGATGGGGACACCTCTGTTGTGAAGCCCCTAATGCTCCCAGGTGTCAATGCATGGGTTGTCCTGAGGCTGGACATGACTGGGCTCTGGGGAGGCCACAGCACCCTCTTCAGTCCCTTCTCCCTTCCCAGGGGTTGGCTCCCAGGCAGCAGCCGCAGCAGCTAAAGCAGCAAAGTATGGTAAGAACCTTGGGGCGCCTTGCTTGCCTGACCCCCCACCTGGCCATCCTGTTGCCTATGAGGGCTGCCTGTGGACAGCCGATCAGGAGGCCCCAACACCCCCATTTATCCAGCTTTTACAACACTATCCACTGTGTAGCTTGTCCTTCCTCCAACCATCCTCCTCTCCTCGTCCCTCCCTCCCTCCCTCCCTATCACTCCCTCTTGCATCTCTCTCTCCTTCATCCCTCCCTCCTCCATCCCTCTCTCCCCATCTATTCTTCTCTCTCCATCCCTCCCTCCTCTATATTCTTCCCTCCTATCCCACTCTCCTCCATCCCACCTTCCTCTCTGTCCCTCCTCCATCACTCCCTCCCTTCTTCCCTCCTCCCTCCCTCATCCATCCATCCACATCCCCCCTTCCTCCATCCATCCATCAATCCTTCCCTCCACCCTTGTCCCAGAAATAGTGGACAGAGGCAGGTAACAGCTTCACAAGATAATGTGCAGTCATGGGAGCTGGGAAGAGATGGGCCTCTTCTACCTGGGCAAAATTAAGGATGCTTCCTAGGGAAAGTAATGTGTGGTGGCAGTCTTAAAATATAGGTGGCATTTGTCATGTGGCTAAAACAGGAAGGAGGAGCCCAAGCTGAAAGAATGGGCACCGTGGTGTTTGGAAAGATAATTTTAAGTGGTACTTATACAGGCATTTAAATTTTAATAGTTACACATTGATTTAACATGTACTATAAAAACGTAACTTGGTCCACAAGCCACGGTGTCCTGGACAGCGCTGCTGCCGATGTGGCATGCCATCCCGTGCCCAAACAGTTGGCAGAACTGCGGATGCCCTCCAGCTTGGGGTCGAGCATGGGAGGCTGCAGTCTTCCGCTGGTCCTCAGCCCCCGGGGGTCCTTCCCTTCCCTGGGTGGGCTGGAAGGCCTGTCCCACCAGCCCAGGGGATGGGCAGGAGGGAGACCCTGCCCCCCCCCCCCAGTGCAGCTCCCTGCCCCAGGCCCCTTGGCCAGCTGGGCCGGTGGCGAAGGATGGAATGTAGGAGCAGGCAGGCGGCCATGAGGAGCAGCCAGAGCCTGGCGCTCGGTTTAGAAGCTTGGCTGCATCTTTGGAACACAGGGAGAGGAAGCCTTGCACATTCCTTTGGGGGCCCCTCTGGCCCGGGGAGCGGCAGCTTGTGGTTTCTCAGTATTCGGCAGTCATTAGAGTGGATCTGACCTGAAGCATCAACTCCCTTAATGAGCCTGCTGAGGTGGGGCTCCCAGCGCAGCGGTGCTGGGTCGCATTCATGCGCCTGCCTGGCTCCCCAGGAGTCTTCCTGGCCGGCCTCAGCAAGGGCCCCAGGGAGCCACAGCCTGCCTCCCCATCCCTGCAGGTGCTGGAGGAGCAGGAGTCATTCCTGGCATTGGAGGGGGCGGCATCCCAGGCGGCGCCGGTGCCATCCCCGGGATTGGAGGCATCGCAGGTAGCGCTGGGTCTGAGGCTGGGGGTATCCTTGGGAGGACCCCTAGGAAAGGGCTTCATTGCCTGTGGCTGTCTTTTCAGGGGCTGGGACTCCTGCAGCAGCTGCCGCTGCGAAGGCTGCCAAGTACGGTGAGTGTCCCCAGCGTGCCAGGCCCAGGGCTCCAGAGACCCCAGCCCACACGAGGCTGGGAGACCGCCTCCATCCACCTGGCTGCCTCCGTCCCGTCCCTTCTCTATGGGTGTGGTCCACACCTCCTTGCCTTTGCCCATTCTCTACCTGAGATGCCACCTCCTGGTTCTGCAGGATAACTCCAGAGGGGACCCTGGGTGTACCTGCTCTGCTCACCCTGCCTCCCCCAACCTGCCAGCTGCTCTTCAATCCCCTGCCCTGCTGCTTACTGTCAGCTGTTCTGGTTTTGCTTTAGAAGTTGATCACACTCTGCCTAGCTGCAGATGCAACCTCAAGAACTCCTTGGGATCTCTCTCGGTCCCTCCCCATCTCACTGATAAGCTGGCTCCATGCACCTGCATGTGATCCTGTCACCCCACAGCTCCCCTGGACCACTGCCCAGGAGGCCTGAGTAGGTTCCCACAGGGATCAGCAGGAAAACAATGCTTTTCTGTCCTCAGGAGCTGCTGGAGGCCTGGTGCCTAGGGTCCCAGGTGTTGGGGTCCCAGGTGTTGGCGTCCCAGGTGTTGGCGTCCCAGGTGTTGGCGTCCCAGGTGTCGGGGTCCCAGGTGTCGGCGTCCCAGGTGTCGGCGTTCCAGGTGTTGGAGTCCCAGGTGTTGGAGTCCCAGGTGTCGGGGTCCCAGGCATCGCAGATGGAGCAGGTGAGTTAGAGAGAGAAAGAGAGTAAGTAATACAGCAATATAAAAACTAGGGCCAAGACTGTCGCATGCTTCCCACCCCTTCTCCTTTGCTCACATCCTGGGCATGATTCATTCCCTCATCCTCCTCCCATGAGTTACAACAGTCTCTCAATTAACTGCCACCAGCATCATTGTCCTCAACTTACTTTCCAAGTCAATGTGCTTCTGGGGGCAGGAGCTGTGTTTTATCTCCACATTCCCTGCCCTTGGCTGAGCAGGTGCTCAGTATTAAATGGTGCAGACGGGGGCGGGGGGAGAACAGAAGGGCAGATGGGCACCTGGTGACAAAATGAGCAGACAAAATGACAGATGAGGGAGTAGATGAGTAGACAGATGCGCAGAGACAAGAATAGGTGGTCCATAGATAGACAGAGAGGTACACAGATAGATGAAAAACTGAATGAGTAGAAGAAAAACAGACAGCTAAGCAGGCAGCAGGCTGGACTAGTGGGTCACAGGAGGGATGGCTGTATGGACGGATGGGGGTGGATGGATAAATAGGTGGGTAGGAGACAGGTGAATCCAAAATGGGTGGTTGAATAGAGGGCTAAAAAGTGGACAGGTGGGCAGGTGAGTGGGCGGATAGATGAGTGTGTGGGTAGACAGTTGGGTGGCTGGATGCATGGACTGGGACAAATGACCAGACAGACACAGAGTTGGGATAGTGGGTGTATGTTTGGGAAAACAAGTCCATATTGGCTGGATAGACAGCAAGATGAAGTGACAGATGGGTAGACACGGGGATGTCCTGGACATGTCTCCTCCATTCTCTCCTGAACATTTCTGTCTTCCTGATCTCTCTAGGGCCTCTCGGGCCAGCTGCAGCTGCTAAAGCAGCGGCCAAAGCAGCTAAATATGGTGAGTGCTTTGCCCTAGCCTGACCTGGCCTCTCACTACTTTCTTCCCCGGGGTCACAGAGAAAGTTCCTGGGAGCTGGAACTTAGACCTGCTGGGGCCTGGGATGGTGTCTCCTCCAGTTTTGTCCACCATAAAGCTGTGGGGCTGACAGTCTGAGGACGAGACCTCCAGTGGGGACAACGTCCCTGCCTCTCCTGGTTCTGACTGGCTCCCCAGAGGTGGCCAAGCCCAGCTGGGAGAAGCCCGCACTGTCTCCTGACCCTTTCCCAAGCATCTAGAGAACAGAGAAGTGGGGGAGAGTGAGGCCTCATGGAGAAGACTGGCCAGGAGCTCGGACACCCACTTCCTCATCAACCAGACCTGGGGGTCACATGCACCCTCCTTCCCAGCAGCCAGCAACCCCCCTCCAACCTCTCTCTCCAAGGCCCATTCCCCCCATTCTTTCCCTCTGCAGGGGCCGGGGCCAGAGTGGGAGTTGGGGGCATCCCCACCTATGGAGCTGGGCCCGGGGGCTTTCCTGGCTATGGCGTTGGACCCGGAGTCGGGGTTGCACCTGGGGTCGGAGTCGGAGGTGTCCCTGGAGCTGGCCTTTCTCGTAAGTCTGAGTCCCATCTGAAAGATCAGTGGAGGGCATGAAGACTGTCCCTTTCCTTCGAGCCGTGGGGCTGGGCTTCTGGGTGCTGAGGGAGTAGGAGGGATGGGACCAGCCTCACAAGAAAGAATTCAAGCCTCTCATACTCTCTCCTCTCCTCTCAGCTGCAGCCCAGGCTGCTGCCGCTGCCAAAGCTGCCAAGTATGGTAAGTGGCCCTGCCCTGCCTGTCCCCAAACCTCACTGTCCCACAGGGGCACTCTTCAAGTTCAGGGCAGCTGGATGGCACAGCCACTTGCCACCTCCCACTCGAGCCTCCAGGGCCAGGGACAGCTTGGCCAAGCTAACCGCTTCACCCTGAGACAGCGAGTTCAAGTGCTGGACAGCCATGCTGTCTGCCCCAACTCCTCTCTCCTCTGGGCACAGCAGGAGCCGGAGCCCTGGGAGGACTGGTGCCAGGAGCAGTACCAGGCACGGTACCAGGAGCAGTACCAGGAGCAGTACCAGGAGTAATACCAGGAGCAGTACCAGGAGTAATACCAGGAGCAGTACCAGGAGCAGTACCAGGAGCAGTACCAGGAGTAGTACCAGGTGATCTGGAGCTCTAGTACAGAGACAGGCTGGTCCCCAGAAGGAAACAGAGTCACTTGAAAGCCAACAAGATCCAGAAATGGGAAAAAGGGCCACAATTTCCTGTAGGGTGATCCTGAGGGAAGAGCCCTCGGGGGGTCCTATCCCTAGCTGGGGGGCTCAGGAAGCTCATCCTGCCCCTTGGCAGAAAACCCTTGCTGCCCCGCCTCGGGTAGTCTCATGTCCCCCTGGGAGCTTTCTGGTTTTTTAGCAGTGAAGGTCCTAACACCTTTGAGTTTCCTTAGGCTACTTCTCCTCCACCAGTCAGAGGGCAAAGGGAAGAGATCAAGTGACTCTGACATTTGATGCCACCCTTCCTTGGGTATTTTTCCCATCAGCTGGTTTCTCCTCCGCATTCTTTATTCCTTCTGTGAGAAAATTCTTCTTCTCAGTGTCATTAAGAAAGAAGCCAGTGGTAGAGCACGTGCCTGGCACGTGTGAGGCTCTGGGTTCATCTCCAGTATAGGAAAGAAAAGAAGGGAAAGAGAGAGAGAGAAAAGCCTATTTCCTCCTATAATTTGGATATAGGCATTAATCCGGATGTTTTAGAATTCACAGCACCTAAGCAGAGAGTTCTGCAATACTTTAGGGCATGGGGGACAATCATGACACCCCTACCAGTTACTGGTGTGGGCTCCCTCTGCGGTCACCTAGGACTCGACTCCCATGGGCCACATGGAAGCCCTGGAGGGGTGGGGGCATGGCCAGGTGCCCTCCCGGGCCAGGCTCTCCATGGGGATTTCTACAGGGGATAACGGAAGGGAGCTTGGGGAGGGATGCTGGGGTTGAACCCCTATTTTTTCTCTTCATCCAGGAGCAGGGATCCCAGCAGCTGCAGCTGCCAAAGCTGCTGCCAAAGCCGCCCAGTTTGGTAAGCACCCCCAAACCCACTGCTGACCCTGTCCCTTGCTCTCTGATCCCCCTCTTCCCAAGGGTCCATTGCCTTCTGATTAGGGAAGCATCTTGAGCAGGTGCACAGTGAGCACCCCAGGACCTGCCTCCCACACGCTGCACCCTGCCACCTGTGGCCTCTGAACCAGCTGCAGCCTGCCCCTTTCCTCCCCCTCCATGTGCCTGCTGTTCCCCTTGCTCCCTCTGAGGGCCACCCTGTCAGCACAAGGCACCCACACTTTCCTGAATATAGAACCCCACTGTGGGACAGACCCTGAGCCTAAGGGCAGCGGTCTATGAGCCTGGCCTCAGGGACTTGCAGAAAGCAAGATAGAGACCAGAATCTCCAGTTAAAACCAGAGAATGTTTCAACTTAAGGTTGTCTTGAACTCTCAAGAATTCATACACAACACTCTTAAGAAGTCAGTATCATTGTCTCACCTTCCAGATGTGCAAACTGAGGTTACCCCAGCTTGCACATAAGCTTCCTTACTGTCCCAGATCTAATGGTGACAGAGTGAAATTTGAACTCAGGTCTGCCTGTCTCGCAGAACTCACTTTACTTAATTTTTTCAATACTGGGAACTGTCTTTTTTTTTTTTTTTTTTTTTTGGTCTTTTTAAGACAGAGTTTCGCTATGCAATTCAGGCTGGCCTTGAGCTAACTTTGTAGCCTAGGCTGGTCTCCAATTTGCAATAATCCTCCTGCCTCAGTCTCCTGAATGCTAGGATTACAGGTCTGCATCACCACACTTGGCTCCGCCTTTTTAAAAACATTTTTTTTAATTTAGCGTCTCACTAAGTGGCTAAATTGTCCAGGCTGAGCTTGTACTTGAGATTTTCTTGCCTCAGCCTCCCAAAGTGCTGAGATTATAGGCATGTGCCACTTCATCTGGCTCAGGGCTCCCCTATGTACCTGTTTCCACCACACTCAAATTCTCCAGGACTTGTCCCTCAAAGCCCAAGTACTCCTGAACTTGTACACACCTCCTGTGGGGCAGGAAGAAGGGGAGGTCGCACTGCAAGGCCATGCTAGGGCCAGGATGAGAACGCATAGCTCCTGACTCTGTGATCTGTGCTCAGGCCCTGGCTAAGTGTTAGCCGTGCTCACTCTTGCAGGGTTAGGCCCCGGTGTCGGTGGGGTTCCAGGCGCTGTCGGAGTTCCTGGTGGCCTTGTGCCCGGTGGTGTTGGTCCTGGTATTACAGGTGAGTGGTCTATGTGAGTGAACTTTGGGGGGCCCTGAAGCTTCTGTGCTTACCATCCCTGAACCCCTTCTCTCCCTCCAGGAGTAGGGGCCCCAGCTGCAGCCAAGTCTGCTGCTAAAGCGGCCGCCAAAGCCCAGTACCGTGAGTGCCTGATTGCCTCTCTCCTACTCCCGTGAGCCAGGGCCGCTACCCCTCAGACCTGACTGCACACCCTTAAGCAGGGAGAGACCTGGGCCGCATGACCTCCGGGGCTCCTCTGCTCCTACATCTTCCAAGTGTGGGTGTCAATGGCCTATAAGGGTCGTTGGGAGGAGCAGATGAGTTTGTCCAGAGGGAAGAGCAGGCCATAATGCAGGGATGTGGAGTGTACGGCATGTAGCCAAATCCCAGCCTGTGGTGGGGCCAGGCTAGGGCAGTGGGACTCCTGAGAAGCACAGTGGGAATTCCCAGGAAGCAGGGTCAGTTGGAGTCAGGGGCAGAGCCAGGGAGGAAGCCACTGCTTCGGTCAGGGCTGATTTGGTCCCCAGGCAGCCACCTCCCCAGGGCTGCTTCCTGCCCTGCCACCAGCCCACTGCCCACCTCTCTGCAGAGGCTGCTGCTGCTGGGCTGGGCGCTGGTGTCCCTGGCTTTGGAGTTGGTGCTGGGGTTCCTGGATTCGGGGTTGGTGCTGGTGTCCCCGGTGCTGGAGTTGGTGTTGGTGTCCCTGGATTTGGAGTTGGGGCCGGTAAGGAACTTTCCAGGGGCTGGGCAGAAGGTGCCCCCTGACCTCAGAGAAAAGAGATCCCTGCACTACCCAGCTGCATGACAAATTTTCCATTTGGTGCCCAGCCTCACGCAGGCCATACTGGGCCTGGAGAATATGAGAAGGGATGGGTAGAAGGGGGCAGCACACTTCAGCCCCTGAGCATCCCCAGATCAGATTGGCAATGGCACACGTAGATCCTGGAGACCTGTGTCTGGCAGTGTGCACCCCAGCTGAGCTTTGAGGAAGCCGTGCATGCCAAGGAAGTCGGGTGGGCTCCCTGGAGGAGGCAGCAGAGCCCCAGGCTCGGAGCTTAACCCCCAACCCCCCTCTCTTTCCTTTTTCCCAGCACCTGGATCCCTGGCTGCAGCTAAAGCAGCCAAATATGGTGAGTGTGAACCCCATGCTGCCTGCTTCGCTGCGCCCTCCCTCCCTCACAACCCACCCCAGCCCAGACAGCACAGGCTAGGGGTGGGCAGGACAGAGAGAGCGATTTCCAGTACTGCTACACGCCTAGGGTGCCACCATCCCCTGTGACAACCAAAAGCACCTGTTACATTTCCAAACTTCACCGAGGCCTTGAATTCCAATGGCCCCTGGAGCCTCTGTCGCTGTGACTTGGCCAAGCAGCCTCTGCCTCCTTCTCAGAGTAGAGTAGAATCTGCATTCCCTATCTGGGTGCCTGTCCCCTCCCTGCCTCCCTCTCAGCTGACCAAGCCTGCCCCGGCCAGCCAGCCTCAACAACGTGGCAGACCTGCCCGCTCCATCAGCCACTCGGCCCTGGGCCGCTGGCCTGGCCATGCCCATATGTCTGTCCCTGAGATCCTCCTGGGATCCAGCAGGGGGCCTCAGCCAGGAACCCAGTGGGCTGCTCTTGGGCCCATTTCCACCTTGGAAAATCCCAGCTTCCTCAGCCCCATGCCAGCAGCCCATCACCCAAGCTCCTCTCCCATCGCTCCCCGGCCAGCCCAAATCAGCACATTGCCAGGGAAACCAGGAGGCGTCACCAAGCAGAGCAGCTAAGGACTCCAATGGCTCCCAAGCCATTTCCTGTCCTAGGACCTAGAGCACACACCTTAATCTCCACTCTGCCTCAATGTCCCTGTCGCACAATGTGGATTGGGAGCTCCCTTTCCTGTGGCAATGCCCGAACTCAGACAAGGCAGCTGTGGTCCTGACAGCCCTGGGTTCGAACTGAGACTGGGCTCACTGGAACTGAGTGTCCCAGTGAATGGCAGCTGTCAGTCAGTCACTGCTGTTCCTGGCAGCTCTGCCCTGGGCCAGGATTCAGAGCCTGCAGAGTTCTCAGGCTGTGTGTCCCTCTGTTCACAAATGCCCCTGAGGCAAGCAGGGAGATGGGACTCTGGGCTCAGAGAGGTCATAGTTAGGACACATAGAGAAACCAAGAGTCAAACTGGATTCGAACCCAGGGCTGTCAGAACCACAGCTGCCTTGTCTGAGTTCAGCAGCTCCCAGTCACTGCTATTACTGGGTCCCTGGCTCCCAGCACCAGGCCAAGAACAAGGAAGCGACCATGCCCTGTTAGAGAGGGGAGGTCAAGACCTGAGGGGCATCGTCCTGCTGCTGCACTAAGGGCAGAACCAGGACTCAGCTCTGGATGTTCAGGAAGGACTTTCTGTCCAGTGCTCCTTCTGCTGGGTCACATCGCCTCTGCCACCTGCCTGCTTGTGTTGTGAGCTGGTGGGGCCAATCCTCCCTCCTCTGTTCACAGGAGCAGCAGGGGCTGGGGCTCTTGGAGGACCGGGGGCTCTTGGAGGACCTGGGGCTCTTGGAGGAGTAGGTGTCCCCGGTGGTGTTGTAGGTGAGTTTCAACCCCAAGATGGGCTGGGAGGGAGGGAGGCTGAGACCCACGAACAGTCCCTCCCTGAGCTCCCTCTGTGTCCTTAGGAGGTGTACCTGCTGCTTCAGCCGCTGCTGCCAAAGCTGCTGCCAAAGCTGCTCAGTATGGTGAGCACTGGCTGGGCCTGGGAGGACTCTGACCAGGCCCCCAGACCCTGTGTCCCTTGAAGAATGCTCTGTCCCTCTGCAGAGAGACTCAGGGCATGGTTCTCAGCCAGGGGATTTAACACCCAGCTCTCTCCACAGGACTAGGGGGTGCTGGTGGGCTTGGAGCTGGAGGACTGGGAGTTGGGGGGCTCGGAGTCGGAGGACTGGGAGCTGGTGGACTTGGAGGTGAGGCTGCTTCGGGATCAGAGAGTACAGTACGTGATGTGTGCGTGCATGAATGAGAGACAGAGCCTTTGTTCCCAGCATGCTGGTATCTAGCATGGTGGGAACAAAGGAGGAGGAGGAGGAGGAGCAGGAGGAGGAGGAGGAGGAGGAGGAGGAGGAGGAGGAGGAGGAAGGACCTGGTATTGCCTAGGACAGGGCCAGACAGGGCCAGGTACCGGGTGCACCTGGGTACCTAGGAGATGATCCGAGGCCAGCTCAGAGTTTCTTTTCCAGTGTGCACCTCAGGGCTTCTTGCAGGCACAGTTGGTCCCTCCAGAGTCCCTTTCTGTGTGCACCTTCACCATCATTGGCTCAGGCTGTCCCCTGTGCCCTGCCTGCCCCAGCCTGCTGTGTCTGTCCCAGACTGTGTGCATTGCACATTTTCCTCCAGGTCCCTGCGTCCTGCAGCACTGTTTACGCAGGGGCTTGAGCAAGTGGAGCCAGCTGTCCCCACTGCAGAAGACCATCCCTGTCCCCTCCCCTCTCATTCTACCCACTGGCCACTGGAGGTGGGAGGTTGTCACCCATTTTTGGAACCAGGTAACCAAAGCCTGGAGAAAAAACACTTTCCCAAAGCCTCTGTTGCGGTGGCTTGGTGCTGACATTCCAGTGTTTACCCAGATCTCCCTTGGGTGGTCATGGGTCCTCTGATCTGAACTGGCTTCAGGCCTCTTCTGGCATGTGCTTTGAGGCTGGACACACGTTAGGAGTTAATAAAGGTCAAGGAATGGTGGGTGGAGGAGGGGAGGTGGAAGTTGGGCTGTTCCTGAGCCCTCCTGTACCCCACCTCTCCAGGTGTGTCCCCAGCTGCTGCTGCTAAAGCAGCCAAATATGGTGAGTGGCCCTTAATATCTATCCCCCTCCCCCAGGCCTGATGGCAATTTGTATCCCACCCCCACCCTTGCCCCACTGGGTCCTGCCCATGGTCATCTTCTCCAGGTTTCCCTGATCCAGAACCAGGGGTGTCAGGGCCCCTGCCACTGGGTCTGTCCTGACTGATCCCTCTGTGCCTTCTCCCCAGGTGCTGCTGGCCTTGGAGGGGCCCTAGGGGCCATTCCCAGGGCACTGCCAGGAGGTAAGGCCAGCTTTGCTGTGTAATCCTCAGTCCTGCCTGGGGCTGGTAGAGGGGGTTCCTAAAGTCCAGGGGAGGACAAAGCACCCTGGGTGAAGGCAGTACCAATGGGCACAGAGCTGAGGCATGGGACAGGATGCTGGGCTGGGCTGGGCAGGGCAGGTGTCAGGAGAGGCCACCCTGGCTTCTGGGATGGTATCACCACCAACCCCAAATCTGTCCTGCAGGCGTGGCAGCCAGACCTGGCTTTGGATTGTCCCCCATTTTCCCAGGTACACCAGCACCCCTATCTTGAGCTCTAGCTGGGTTCTTCCTCCTCCATAGCTACATCCCCTGTGGTCGCTGAGACCTCAGACCATACAAGGCCAGACCCCAGCCCAACCAGAGACCCCTTCATCCTGACTCCTCCCTCCCAGGGACAGGGGACATCAGCTTTTCTCAAACACATCATATACCCAAAGGTCCCCAGGGACAGAAAGTTTCTCCGTTGTGTCCCACACAATGTTAACTGAGGCTCAGAGAGTGTGGGGGCTCCTAGACCCCGAATTTGGCCCCTCTCACTCCACATGTCTACCTGGCCTCAGCAGGGCCCTGGTTGTGTTGTCCCCAGAGAGCTCTCGGGTTCTCAGAAGTGACCACACTCATGGCCCCTCCTTACCTTGCAGGTGCCGGTGCTGGGGGCCTGGGAGTCGGTGGTGAGTCAACAGTAAAAAGGCACCTGTGCCCGGGGCAGGGACCCTTTCTCAGGGTAGAGGAAAAGTCCTGTCCAGGGAGCGTGGTAGACTGACTGTCTGGCACAGGGGCATCAGGGAGCCCCAGGGGGAGTCCCATAAACTGAAAGGTCTTTGCTGGGATGTGGGGACAGGAGCCAAGGATCCTGATTTCCAATGTCCCAGCCTGGCTCTAGAGTAGGCTTTGGGAGCAAGACAGGGAGCTAGCGTCTCACTGGGGAGTCTCACAAGTCCTCACCAAGAGACCGTAACTTTGGGAATGGGGCAAATGCCTGTAGCCAGTGCTCTGGGAGGCTGAGGCAGGAGGATCACAAGTTCTAGCCTAGCCTGGGCAGAGCTTAGTAAGATCTTCTCTCAAAATAAAAAATTTAAAAAGACTGAACAGGTAGCTCAATGTGAAAGCCCTGGGTTCCACCTCCAGGGAAGGAAGGAAGGAAGAAGGGAGGTAGGGAACTAGGAGGGGTTGGAGGGGTAGGGGTCAGCTGGGAGTTAGGCCTGGACATCAAGCATGTAGGGTGACTGTGGCAGGCTGGGAGCAAGCCACAGGAAGGCCTCAGGCTTGGCCCCTTGTAAGAGGAGAGGAGCAATGCTGGGTGGAGAGGTCTGACCACACGGCCTTGGGAATGTCCTCCCCATGGTGCCCTCTCGCCTTCTACAGGGAAGCCCCCCAAGCCCTATGGAGGGGCCCTGGGAGCCCTTGGATATCAAGGTAAATAAGCAAGGAGCAAAGCCAGGAGAGGACCTTGCCCTCCTTCCTGAGCTTGGGGAGGGGCCGCCAATTTGGCCCAGGCCTCATAGCAAGTGGGCAGATGGGGCTGGGTGCCACCCACCCCTTCTCACAGGCAGGCCTGGCCAGGGTGCCCCAGGTTCCTCAGCTCCTGCCAGCCCCCTGCCATGACTCCACCCAGTGGTCACTCAAGACTCTGGATTCCCTTCCACCCCCACATGCTTCTCACTCCACGAGTGAGGTAGCTGAGGCCAGGGCCAGGAAGCTGAGGACACGTCAGAGGGATAGGCCCTGGCCAGGGTGCCGGCTCTCTGGCCTGCTCTGAGAGGCCCAGGCTCTCCAAATCCTGCTTTCTGCCACCAGGTGGCAGGATGAGCCTTGCGTGGCAAGGGCCAGCCCTGTGTGACTCCAGGCTCTGCTCACTGGGTAGCTGACAGCTTTGCCAGTCAGACCCTGGCCAGCGAGGCCCAGGGATCTGAAGTTCCTCTTCTGGCCTCTCTTGATGTGGATAAGACCTTCTGCCCGGCTCTCTGGCCTTAACATTCTGATGATACTTTGGCTTTTAAAGTATCTATACGCCAAGGTTGCTCTGAGCACTTTCCTAAAAGGCTTCCTTCAAACAGCGTCCAGCCCCATCCTGGTCCCCGACCTGGCTCCTTCCCTCTCTGAGTTCCCACCTCATCACAGATATCTGGGGTGTTCTTGTTGTCCCCTCCCTGCCCCTGGGAGTTGGGGCAGTGGTCAGCATGTGTCCTGGCTCCTCTCAGGATCCTTCAGCTTCTCAGAGGTGGTCAGAGCAGGCTGGGGCAGGAGAGACACCCCAAAGGGCTCAGACTGACTGCTGTCCCCTACCCCCACCCAGGTGGGGCCTGCCTGGGGAAATCCTGTGGCCGGAAGAGGAAGTGAGCTTCCGGGGGACCCCTGACTCTCGACCTCATCTACGTTGGTGCTACTGCTTGGTGGAGAATGTAGACCCTCTGAAACCCCACCCCACCCCCACCCCCATCCGGGAGGGGACTGCAGGCCGGTGGCCTTGGACGCCCACAGACAGGACAAGGAAACAAGAGCGGAGTGGCCTCGGGCCAACCACAGGGACCCCCTTCAGAGGCCATGACTGGGTGGGCTCGGGCCCTCCCCGGCCCCTCCCCACCTGGAGCTCCCCCAACAGCCTCCACCTTCGGGGAAATTGGTGCTACATGCTGGTGCTCTCGTCTTCCTGGGGGAGGAGGAGGGAAGGGCAGCCTTGGGGATCCCCTCCCCGGGGCTGCTCTGAAGATGGTGCCCATGCTTCCCGGGCAGTGCCACCTCCCCCTGCCCATCAGGAGCCACCCCTGGCTGCAGTCCAGTTGGTACCCAAGCACCGGAAACCTAAAGCTGGATTCGGTCACACTGTCCCCCTTCCTGCTCCCCATGGCTGTTCCCCACATCTGGGGCCCCTTAGAGTCGGAAGACCCCATACATACAACACTGGGAATGGCCCCCTTGCTCTTAAGGAGCCCACTGCCCGTCCATCCATCTGTCCGTCCATCTGTCTTTTGTCCTTGTCCCCAGTCAAATGCCCAGCGTCACTAGCTGGCTGGGCACACCTGTTGTGGCAGCCTGCGCCCCGCCTCCATCCCACCACACACCCCGACGCTGGCCCAGGGTGTGAGAGGCCTTGTGGGCGGGGGGGACAGGACTCTGGTCCCCAGCCCGGATCTCCCCACACTCAGTACTGTACCCCCAACCCTCCCTTGAGCCACCGTAACTACAGAGCATGTCTCACCCCCCATCTCTTTGTGTCTCGCTGTGATAGATCAATAAATATTTTATTTTTGTCCTGGATATTTGGGGATTATGTTTGATTGTTGATGTTCTCTTTGGGTTTTATTTTTGTGGTTCATTGGAAAAAAAAACCTTTTTCTTTTTGCTGATCTGGGGAGCTGTATCCCAGAAGAAATTTCATTTTAATCACTTTGGTATAACTCTGGATGGAACACATTTTAAAAAAAAAAAGAAAGAATTAACTGCTTCAGAAAAGAATAATAAATGAAAACCTTTTAAAGGAAACTGTCTTGGGCTCCTTTGTGCTTTTCCATCTGGCCTAGTAGGGTGCAGTGGGGTGACTTCAACAACCCACAGTGTGTTGGGGAGGCTGCTGACCCCAGGCATTCACTTGACACCCAAGGCATCCAGCCTTCTTCAAGCTCCTCTTGTCCTTTAACAATGATCTCCATAACCTGGGCCTGGTGACACAATCCTGTAGTCCCAGCACTCAGGAGGCTAAGGCAGGAGGACTGGGATAAATCTGAGGCCCACCTCAACCACATAGCAAGACCCCATCTAATAATAATGATAATAATAATAATGACCTCCAAGTGGTAGACTCATCTACCACACCTCCCCCTGGGCCATAGCCCTGAGCACAGTCCAGGCCGTAGGCCTCAGGCTGTGTGTGGAGGCTGGAGGGGACCTCACTGGCCTCATTAGAGACCACAAACTTGGTCTTGGAAAACAGAGACCAAGGGGCAGAGAGCGCAGCTGATAGAGAACACCAGGCAATGGCAAGAGGATCCCTACTGCCCGTCCCCCTCCAAAACACCATCCAAAGAAATGAAGCCCTGTAGGGGGCAGCAGAGACTAAACACACCCTTTGCTGACCCATCTCCACAGTATGGCCTCCAGATCCCAGAACCTCAAATGCTGAAGCCTACAGACAGGCATGTTCACCTGGAACCCACTGCCCCCCAACCATGTTCCTGGTTACAGATTCAAGAGTTCCCTCCCCAGACCACTGAGCCCACTTCCAGGATTCCCAAGGCCTCGAGCTGCATCTGCCCCCTGCGGCTGATCCTATGGCCCTGTGCATACCTCTCAGCAGGACTGAGGCCTCAGGACCACACTGCTGAGCGCAAGTGGTGCGGTCTCTGCAGGTCTGTGGGCAAGGACTCTTGTGGTGCCACAAGGAGTGGGGATGGAAAGACAAAGCAGGGATATTCTGGGAGAGCACCCCAGAGTGTGGAAAAGGACAAAAGGCCACAGGGTGCAGAGGCGCACATCTGTAATCCCAGCAATCTAATAGGCTGAGGCAGGAAGGTTTGCAAGTCCAAGCACAGCCTTAGTGACTAAATGAGACCTTGTCTCAGAAAAAGAAAAAAGAAAAAAAGCAAAGGCAATTTATCAGGCAAAGACTACAGGCTAGAAGAGGGTGAGGTCTTCCAGCCAGAGAGGCCTGAGGGAGGGAGCAGAGCTGGGGAGCCTGGAGGATGGGTCAGGAGGCACAGGGTCATGGCTCAAGGCGACCCACAGCAGGACTGCAGGAGCATGACCCAGCTTGCCTAGAGCATGGCAAAAGACCCATCCAACCAGTCAACCTTTCCTCATTTCTTTCTTTTCTTCCCTTTCCACCCCCCCCCCCACTAGAGATTGAACTACAATTGGGACGAGTGTGTGTGTGTGTGTGTGTGTGTGTGTGTGTGTGTATGTGTGTGTGAGTGTACTGAGGGTGGAACCAGGTACATTGGCTCTGTTACAGGCCTTTTATATGACTTATTTTGAGACAGGGTCTCATGGGCTGGGGATTTAGCTCAACGGCATAAGCACCTGGCTAGCAAGCACGAGGTCTTGAGTTTAATCCCCAGTACCAAAGAAGACAAGACAGGGTCTCACTACATTTCCCAGCTTTCCCTTATATTTGTAATCCTTCTGCCTCAGCCTCCTGTGTAGCTTGATTTATAGAGCCACACCACCATGCCCAGCAGTTCATTTCTTTGATCAAATAAATAAATGAACGAACCCTTCAGCAGTTCCTCAGCTCTCTGGACCTACACAGCTGGCAGCCCCGGGCCTCAGCCCTCCAGACTCCCTGCCTTGGTTTCTCAGAGCTCACTTGTTTTCAGTACTAGGGCTGGAATCCAGGGCTTTTGCACTAAACTATACCTGCAGCCCTTTTTTATTTTAGATTTTGAGATAGGGTCACACTAAATTGCTCAGCTGTGCTCAAACTTGTGATCCTCCTGCCTCAGCCTTCCAGAGTGCTGGATGGCAGGGGTGCACCACTGCACCCTGCTCTTGCTGGCCGTCTTCTGGGATTTCCAATAATCTTTCTGTGCATATTTGTGTCCTAATCACCTCTTTTCTGAAGGACTCCAGGCCTCTTTGAACCCACTGACTTGACTTTGTTTTAACTTAATTACTTCTTTTGCAGATCCTCTCTCCAAATATAATCACATTCTGAGCTCCCCGGGTGAGGATTTTGGGGAGGCCTCAAATCAACCCATAAGAGCTACTGTATATAGGGGAAAAGGCCTTCACAGATGTTAGCTAGAGACCATCAGTTTCAGCTCTGAGTATCCTTCTAAGAATCCAAAACTGTGTGCCAACAAATGGAAAGATCTAGATAAAATAAGTAAATTCCTACAAACATACAACCTACCAGACTGACTCAAGAAGCAACAGACGATCCAAATGAATCAATAATGAGTAAAGAGCTGCATCTGTAATAAAAATTCCAACAAGGAAGAGCCCAGAAGGAGGAGGTTGGAAAAGAAGAAGAAGAAGAAGAGGAAAAAGAAGCAAAGCAAGATATGTCATGTACAGGTACAAATTCCCTAGGGTGAATGTTATGATTATATAAATCTAAAGTGTACCAATTTTTTAAAAATTCTGAGGATACAAAGAAAGAAAAAGTCCAGAACAGATGGCATCCCTAGAGAATTCCGCCAACCATTTAAAGAACTAACACAACCTGCTGAAGCCCTTCCAAAAAGTTACAGCAGCAGGAACACTTCCTGCATCATCTTGAGAGGATGACATTATCCTAATACTCAAACGAGACACAGACAGAGAATAACAGATTAATTTCTGATGAACATGGATGTGACATTCTCACCCAAATCCTGTGAACCTGATCCAATAGCATGTTCAAGAGATTCTATGTGACTAACAGGATGTATCCTGTAGGTTCAACATGAAAAAAGCCCACAGCAGCCGGGCATGATGGCACATGCCTGTAATCTCAGCACTTAGGAGGCTGAGGCAGGAGGATCGTCATGGGTTTGAGGCCAACCTGGGCTACAAGAGAGTCCAAGGCCAATCTGGGACTACACAGTAAGACTCCATCTCAAAAAAAGAAAAAAAAAGATAAAAACCCATAGTTAACATCATTCTAAATGGTGAAAAACTTAGAGCTTTTCTTCAAATGTTCAAGATAGGATGCTCACTTTTATTCAACGTATTATAAGGCCTAGCAGCCAGGTTTGTGTGTCTGTAATTCTAGCATTTTGGAATGCCAAGGCAGGGGAATTACAAGTATGAGCCTAGCCTGGGCAACTGGTGACTTAGTGAAGCCCTGCCTCCAAACATAAAACAAAAAGGGCTGGAAATACAGCTAGCTCAGTGTAAAGATCGTGGGTTCAATCCCCAGTAGCAGATGCACAACCCAAAAAAGTTGCATTTATAAACATTAACAGGGGCTGGGGATTTAGCACAGTGGTGTAAACACTTGCCTGGCTAGCACAAGATCGTGAATTTGATCCCCAGTACAAAAAAAAAAAAAAAAAAAAAAATTGGAAAGAAAATAAATAAGGGGCTGCGGATTTAGCTCAGCAGCATAAGCGCCTGCCTTGCAAGTAAGTGTGCGGTTGTGAGTTCGATCCCCAATACCAAAAAGAAAGAAAGGAACTAAAGAAAACAATTCTTCCCAGAAATGGTGGCACATCCCTATAATCCAGCACTTGGGAGGCTGAGGCAATAATTTGTGCTCAGCCTGGGCTGCATAGTGAGTTCAAGGCCAGTCTGAACTGCCTGGTGAGACATGTCTCAAGCAATACACATAAAAAGTGGTCAGATTCATAGAACTTGGAAGTAGATTGATGGTTGCGGGGGAGGCTAGGGGTTGGGGAACTGTTTAATGGGCAAAATTGCAAATTTGTAAGATGAAAAGATTCTGGCCAGACACGGTGGCACACATTTTGATTCTAGTACTCGGGGCTGAGACGGAATTGCCATGAGTTTGAAGTCATCCTGGGATACAAAGTGAGTCCAAAGACAGCCTGAACTACACAGTGAGACCCTGTATCAAAAAGACAATAATAATAATAATAATAAAGATGAAAAGATTCTGGAAGTCTGTTTCGTAACAATGGAACTACCATAAGAGACACTTCAGACAGTAAATCTATGCATTCTTCTTTTTGTTTCATTTTGATTTGGGACTTTTGTTTTGTTTTTTAGCTCGGTTGAAATGAAGAAGTGGGCAAGAGCACAACTCAGGGGCTGAGAACTTGCCTAGCACGAAGCAGGCCCTGGGTTCCCCATCCCCAGCACCGCAAAGGAGACAGGAGGACGACAAAGGGCAGTTTCTCCCCTAGAGTCTCAGCTACACTGGCTGTGACCCCTCAAGTTTGGCCTGTGAAACTGATTCTGGACTTGGGGCCTCTGGAGCAGGAACTAACGCAGTGAATAAATGATTAGCTCCACCACCAAGTGACAAAGGGTCAGTTAGATGGGACAGTGCAGACCCTGTGACAACTTCTTGCTTGAGAAGCTGGAGCAACTGAGAGATGCAGTGTGGTTTTAACAAAAGTGGTCAAGGAGAGAAGAAATAAGGATGAAGTGGCCAGACACTAGGTTCCAAGAGGACATTGGGTTTAGAGACCGGAGAGTGTCTGGTACGGACCTGCAGGCTCAGAGGCTCGAAAGCTGACACAGCAGGGTCCTGACTTTGGGCTGTTTGAACGCAGCAGACCAAGGAAGAGGGAGGGGCAAGGGCTCTGGGGGTGTTTTGTACCCAGACCCAGTAAATCTTCCAGAGGACCTGATGCTGGGAGGGTGGAGGAGGAGAG